TTTAAAATTTGCAAAACACTTTTTGTACATTATTTTATCTGAGCCTCAAAGCATTCCTACAAGGCAGGTATGATAGGTATGATTATTTTCATTTCATAGATAAGGAAACTAAATCTCAGAGGGATTAACTGCCCAGAATCATCAAGCTAGTAAGAGAGATAAAAAAAGGGGGTAGAACTGGATTCATTAAAAAGTTCTCAGGAAATACAGTATACTGCTTAAAACTGTAGCTACTAAAAATTGCAAGTTTGAGGACTATATATACAAATTAAATACACACACACACATATATGTGTGTGTGTGTATATATGTATGTGTGTGTGTGTATATACACACACACACACACACACATCATATTATATAGGATATCTAGGTGGTGCAGTTGATAGAGAGCTGAGCTTGGAGTCAGAAGACATCTTCCTGAGTTCAAATATGTCCTCCAACACTTACTATCTGTGTGACCATTGGCAAGTCATTTAACCCTGTTTGCCTCAGTTTTGTTATCTGTCAAATGAGGCGGAGAAGGAAATGGCAAACCACTCCAGTATCTTTGCCAAGAAAACACCAAATGGGGTCACAAAGAGTCAGACATGACTAAAAAACAAAATCCTTTATATAGAATGTTGTATATAAAATAACGCCAAATGAAAGAAACATGACAAAATAATAATAACTAGCATTTATATAGTGCTTTATGGTTTGCAAAACATTTACATGTTATCTCTTTTGGATGCTCACAACCTCCCAATGAGTTAGGTGCTATTATCATCCCCATTTTATAGGTGAGGAACCTGAGGCTGAGAGACATGAAGTGACTTGCCCAAGGTCACACAGGTAGTAAGGCCAGGTTCAAACTCAGATTTTCCCAACTTCAAATCTAGTGTAATAGCCACTGAGCAACTTAGCTGTCCATGTGCTCATGAATGATAATAATGTCAGAATAACTGCAAGTATATTAGCAAAACTGGAAGAAAATTTTGAATGATAAATAAAATTCAAGTTAATTAGATTTTTCTTTTTTTTCCTTCCTTCCTTCCTTCCTCTCTTTTCCTTCCTTCTTCCCACTCCCTCTTTTTTTTCCTCTCTCCCTCCCTCTTTTCCTTCCATTCTTCCTTCTTACAGAGTTAGTAAATTCCATAAATTTGAACCAAATTTTACTGTAGCACAGATTCTGAAGCTGTTCTCCCAACCCACATTTACCCTGGCAGGCTGGGTCCCCAGAGATTGGCTACTTGTTCCTTTAGAGTCAGGAGGATGAGAGGAATGTTGTTCTAATACTATACTATAGCAAGGTGGTACAGTGGACATAGTGCCAGGCCTACAGTCAGGAAGACTCCTCTTCCTGAATTCAAATCTGGCCTTAGACACTTATTAGCTATGTGACCCCAGGCAAGTCACTTAACCCTGTTTGTCTCAGTTTCCTCATCTGTAAAATGACTTGGAGAAGGAAATGGCAAACCACTTCACTATCTCGGCCAAGAAAACCCCCAATGGGGTTACGAAGAGTCAGATACAGCTGAATAACAATAAAAACATAGCTTATGAGGCCCCACTGGTGTGTTCCCTCTCAATGCTTATCAGTCGATATCAATTGCTTGATAAGTTGTAATTAGCTTTTAGTCTCAAAGGTATTTACTAAGGTGGCAATAGTAAAAGCAATTTGTACAAAACTCCAAGTCTGTGATTCACTCTCCCATAAGTACACACCAAGCCCAGAGGAAACTGGGGCTCGAGCTTAGAGAATTCAATACAGCATGGGGATAATTCACATCAAAATTACATTTTGATGAAGTTCTCAAGATGTTTCCCTCAGAGAAGACACAGCTTTTCTATAGGGCTTCTTGTAGATCCTTGAATGTGCCTTTCTTCATGGTATCCAGTCCATCCTCAGCTCCTGATTCAGGCACTGACACTAGCTGTCACTATTCTAGGGATACAACTAGGACACTTAAATTCACAAGGTCTTCATCTGGTCAAGCAGGAGTGGGGATTTACATGGAAGCCAAGACCTGAGGCTGGAGCTCTTCTCCTCCCCTCAAGGGAGGCTTTCAACATAAGACTCCAAATGCTTGAATCTTTCGCTTTTGAAGTGGCTTCAATATTTTACAGATGACTCAAAGGACATTTTCTCGACCACTCTGAACCAAACTTTCTGAGTAATGGGTCTAGCATTTAACACTTACTTTAAGTGGGATGAGTTAACTTGACTGATTGACTTAATTGACCCCTACCCTTATATCAATAATGAATGTTTTGGCAAAAAATTAAAATAATCTAAAAATCCAACAATTTCAGAAAAAGGCACCTAAATTTAGTCTAACTCCATAGTGTGGAAAATTATCTATAATAATAATAGCTAGCCCTTATGTAGCACTTTAAGGATGACAAAGCACTTTACATATATTATTTCACTTGATCCTCATAACAACCCTGTGAGGTAGATGATATTATTATCCCTATTTTACAAATGAGGAAACTGAGACAGAGTAGTCAAGGGACTAGCCCAAAGTCAAATAGCCAGTAAATATCTGAGGGAGGACACATACTAGGCACTGGAATCTATGGTGAATTGGGCCCCTTTTCAAAGCATTCTACTTTAGTTTCTCAACACTACATATCCTATTAGAGTGTTAAAATTCAGTAATTACTCAATTGATGATGCCTACCACCATTACACCATCCACTCAACAAATATTACTCAAAGTGAATTGAATTAACCAGGCATTTAATTAAGTGAAAAGACACATTTAACTGAGGGATAAGTCCTTGCCTTTCCATTAAGTACCCAGCTCAGTAGAAAGGAAAGAAAATACTCTTAAAGTGAAAGAAATGAGCAACCATAAGTTTCATAAACAAAGAACCTGCACAGTACAAACCAAGGCAATCTCCCAAAAATAAATTCTGCTAGGTACATCTCTGTGGAAATAAAATAGAAAATCCTTCCTGTGGCCAAGAGTTCCATTACAAATTGAAATATTCAGTCCTGGCACATGTACAAATTCTCACCCTTTTTTTTATTTCAGCCAATTTTCTTTCTTCAAGCCTCTTTGGTGTTGTGCCCTCCACCACAATGCCGCAGGGACGGCACTGAACTGTAAGACAAACCCACAGTGCTAATAATCCTTCTGCACAGCTCTCCCCACCCCCACAGCGGGGCTCCCCACAACCATGAGTTGTATTCCAAAGGGGACTCCACAGCCCTTCAAGAGAATGAGTAAGATTGAGCTTCTGGAAAAGACTGGCCCACTCTTCTGAGTCTGGGACGTCAATCTCTTTGCTGCTTTTTAATTCTTACCTGCTGCTATACTTTCACTTCCTGGTGTGTTGGCATATATACAGGAGGATGAGCAGGGGAAATGATAAGTGCTTCTCTTTCTTGACCTCTCTGCAGCATATAACAAAGGTGAAAAAATCTTCTTTCTGCATACTGTCTCATTGAGATTTTGTGATACTCCTCTGTTCTGACTAGGACCATCATTCATGTCCATATGGGTGGGTGTACCCCAAGGCTTGGTCATCAGTCCTTTGCTTTTCTATATATATTCTTTCTTCTTGGTGACCTCATAAGTGATCATAGATTCAGTTGTCATCATTATGCAGAAGATTCCCAAATCTAAATAAGCAATAGCTAATTATAACTAACATTTATATAGCAGTTCCTATGTGCCAGGCACTCTGCTAAGTGTTTTATAATTACTATCTCATTTACAATAACCCTGGGAGGTACCTGCTATTATTATCCCCCTTTTACAGATGAGGAAATTGAGGCAAGTGATTTGCCCAGAATTACACAACTAATAAGTATCTGAGGCCAGATCTGAACAGCACTTAGCACAATGTCTGGCACATAGCAGGTACTTAATAAATGTTTATTGATTGACTACTCTCTCTTTTTGTCCCTGTCTCTCTGTGTCTCTATCTCTATTTCTGTCTCTCCCTCTTATTTCAATCCCATATCTCCAACTTCTTGCTGGTCATTTCCACTTGGATGACTCCGTGTCTAGAACTTTATTAGCCTTAGTCACTCCTTTTCTTAACTTCCCTATTTCTTTGGAAGGCATCGTCACTCTTCCCATCACTCAGATCTGCATCACAATCTTGGAGTTATCTTCAACTATTCTTCTCTCTCACTTCCCAGATACAATCAATCGCTAAAACTTGTTGATTCTTCTTCTATAATATGCTTTCCATTCATCCCCTTCTCTCTTGGACTAAAACCATCCTTATCCAGGCCTTCAATTCCTCTCTACCTCTCACAGCTAGGTGACACAGTGGATAGAGGGCTGGGCCTGGAGTTAGATTTAGGGTGAAGGTCTAGTTCTGAAGCCAAATCCAAAGTTTGGGGCATGGTGGGGGGGGGGGGGCAGCGTGAGATGAAGATAACAGCTAGAGTGCAGGCGACACAGCGTGGAAATGGTAGAGCGGACATTAAATTTTCCTCTCCATTTCTTTGCACAAGCTGTAATCTCCTGCCTGAAATAGTCTATCTCCTTATCTCTGCTCTTTGGAAACCCTATTTCCCTCAAAGCTCAGCTCAGTTTTTTTCTCCTATAAGGGGCCTTTTCTGATTCCTGCAATTGATAATGTTGCCCTTGAAATTTTTTATGTATGCCTTTGAACCTGCAGCCTCGAGACCACACATGACCCTCTAGGCCTTTTGACTGAATCCAAACTTCACAGAATTGCACTTGAGGATCTAGAGGGCCACATGTGTCCTCAAGGCCGAAGGTTCCCCACTCCTGCTTCTAACCCAAAGCAAGAGTCGTTTAGAGGTTGTTCTGCCAAAAGAAAAACTTATACATCAAAGAGGCTGAAGCATGAGTGTAGGAGCGAGGTGAAGGGCAGGCTGAGGAGGGCAGCAGGATGGAACAAAGCCATGTCTATGTAAGGACATGTGATAAAGCTGTAAAGACTTGAGACCCAACACAGCAATACAAAATAGAAATTATAACAACAGGTAGATACAAAAGACTATTAGGATAAAGACAAGATAGGCATACCTTCATTCCAGCTGCAGCTGCTGGGCCACTGGGATCCACAGCCTGGATATGACATGGCTTGCTTCCTCTTACAACAAAGCCCCATCCCACTGCATCACCAACAATCTAGGACCCACAGGAGAAGGAAAAAAAAATCAATTAGGAATCTTTGGAAAACACCTTGTAATTCACCTTTCTTTTCAAGGGAGAATGAAAATCAACAAATCAATCCATGAACATTTATTAAGCACCTTCTATGTGCCAGGCACTGTGCTAAGTGCTGGGGTTGGGGGAGGAAGGGAGAAAATAAACAGTTATTACTCTCGTTCATTCAGATTTAGTTTAGCTTGTCTCACAATAGTCCTATCAGGTGGCTGGTGCATTTCATAGTAACTCTGTTTTATAGATGAGAAAACTAAGGCCCAAAGAAGATAAATGGCTTGCTCACAATAATACCTCTATGAAACATCAAAGATGAGACTTACACATGTGTCCTGATTCTAGATCTTATATTTTCCCCATTATACTGAGCTGCTCTCTCAAGTACCAGATATGACAAAGCTTGTCTCTGCGTCAGGTTTAACTATTTACCCACCCTGAACTGTTCATATTATCAAGATAACTTAGCAGAATAATAATCATCCTGATGGCTGATATTTGCTGTTGTGTTGTTGTTCAGTCATTTCTGTCACGCTCGACTCTTCATGACCCCATTGGGGGTTTTCGTGGCAAAAATACTGGAGTTGTTTGCCATTTCCTTCTCCAGTTCATTTTACAGATGAGGAAACTGAGTCAAACAGGGTTAAGTGATTTGTCCAAGGTCACACAGCTAATAAGTGTCTAAGTCTAGCTTTGAACTCAAGAAGGTGAGTCTTCCTGACTCCAGGTCCAATAATCTATCCACTATGCCACCTAGCTTACCTGGCTGATATTTATACAGTATGAATGGCTGGCGTTTAAGTCCTAGCTCTGACATATATGACATATGTGTGTTTCTGTGCCAGCCATCAGACCTCTAAGTGCCTCCCAGGAAACTCTCTAAGACACTCAGTTATAGATGAAGGATCAGTTTAATGTAGACCTATGGAATCACAGGTCTAGACAAAGGAGGAACCCTACAATTGGCTCTCCTGAAAGTTTTCTTTTCGGAGAAGGCATGTGAATGACCACAATAATGTAAAGAAAAACAACACTGAAAGACATTAGAATTCTGATTAATACAGTGACCAATCTTCACTTCAGAGGACTGGAAATAAAACACTCCCACTATCTCTTAGGGGAAAAGTGGTAGACTGCAGTCGCAGAATGAGGCATACATTATCAAGCATGGCCATTATATTGGTTTGTTTTCCTTAACTCTATTTCTTTGTTACAAGGGAATGTTCTATTTGGGAAAAAGGCAGATTTGAGGTGTGAAAGTTATTTTTTAAAAAGGTTTCACCAAAATAGTTTTCTTCAAAAGATATAGTGAATAAAATAAATTTTAAAAAGAGATATAGAGAAGTACTTGACTTGCATGCAGATCATATTCTAAAAGTCTTTAAGTTGGCTGTTTCAAACACATTTCCTCATAGAAATAACGTTTTATTTATAATGGTTAAGTTCCCATGCTAGCCTGTAAGCACTTAACCCGTTTAATGTAGCTAAGATAGTACACATTGTCATGAAAAATAATATCACAGGCCAAAAATATGATAGCATTTACTCAAAACAGAAACACCAATAAAATGACTTAATATTATTTTGAGCATTGGTGCTTGAGAAGAAGTAGGTTTAACGAGGGAGGATATAATGGTAGATTGAAAAGTGTGGGGATTCAGAAGAGAAATTTCAAGGGTTTGGAAGTTTTATTATATCTAATTCTATTTAAAAACATGTAGCTGTTACTTTGTACAGGTGTATTACTGCCTGGGCCTCACACTTAGCCATTATTTCTTATGTCTGAAACTGAACAAAAAAAAAAGTCGTGGGGGGGGGGGGGGGAAGAAGAAGAAGCATGAAGAGAAGATTTTATCAAGGTCACTGGGGAAATTTTTAAAGAGAAAAAGAAAAAAAAAAGAGGAAGGGGGTTAAAGAGGATATAGATGTGCCCTGGAAAAAGTGATTGTGTGAGCTGAAATTGATTGCACTCCAAGGAAGGAAAGTTGGAAGAAACTGAGAAAGTTTGGTGTGTGCACAGTTCTTTTGAGGGAGAAGAAAAGAGGCAGTAGGGAAGAGATTTTTGGATCAGTTTTTATTATTCACCAGGCCAACCACCAAGAGCCATTATCTACCTGGGATGTTTTTGTTTTCTTCCGGCTAGAGTAGGAGGTGGCAGAAATGTCTTACATGATCATGGAATCTCAGAGTTGAAAAAGAACTCAGTCACCACCTAGCCCAACCTATAAACAAAAGGAATCCTCCTAAGCCCTACCCAACAAATGGTGGTTGTCCAGCCTTTGCTTAAAGACCTTCATCGAGAAGGAACTTACTACCCTCCACCTTAGGATATTTCTATTTGTTAGGAAATGTTTCCTAACATCTGTGGTTGCTTCTGTTCAGTGTGATGGTCCGGTGGATGTAACTAAGAGAAAGCTACATTATCAAATGCACTGTTTCCCTTCATAGACTCAAGATAATAATCACTTGAGAAAGATCCTCAGAGATCATCTGGTTAAACCTCCTCATTTATAGGTGAGGAAACTGACGGAAAAAAAGATTAATTGATTTATGGTCACATGAGTAGTAAGTAGCTGAAGGAGGATTCAAACTAATGTGTTCTGATTTCATATTCAACTCTGCTTCCCTGGTGCCACGTTTTTATAAATACAATACAGTCTATCTCTGCTTTTCCTTCTTTCCTTGGTAATCTCCCACACTGATCCCTCTAATTTGTCCAGATTTTTCCAGAATTTAACTTCAGTTCAGGAGGATTGTACTATTTGTAATTTAAGTGTAATCGTATCTGGCTAGTGCATTTTTTTTTTTAGATTAATAGCACACATTGAATAGAACAACATGGAAACATGGAACAATGCCAGTAAAATTGCAACATTTTGAGTTCCTTTTCTGTGAACAAATTTGTAATGTAAATGCCCAAAGGCCAAGAATCTTTGATAATTATTAATATAATAATATCTAATACATTAGCTATTATGGTTATATATTATATTTTATAATTGTTTATATATTTATATAAATAAAATATATTGTATAAACAAATATAAACATATTTATGTTATATTTTATATAATTATTTCTAATTATGGTTATATATAATGATACATTAGTAATTAAAATTACTAATAATTACTACAATGCTGTGATATAATTAATATAACAATGCATATTAATAATTATAATACTAGCACTTTAAGGTTTACCAAATTCTTTACATGTTAATTCATTTATACATGTAGTCGTTATACCAATACAAAATCAGAAAGTCACTTTCACAGCAGTTTACAATCCATACAGTAAATGGCACAGGAAAATAACCAAAGTACCTACAGTGAAAGTCTTTCTTGCATATGGAGCCCCAGGTGTCAGAAGTTCTTCAGAAGTGACTGGTCTCTTTAACACTGTGAAAACAGACATAGGTTATTTAATATAAGCTTAAGGAAGCAAATATTTCACAAAGCCCATGCAAAATGTACTTTGTTATTTTCTCCAGATCTCAGACTTTGTGGGTTTTTTAATTCGAATTTTCACGAATATTTGATATTGAACCAAGTTATGAAGGCCTTCCTTATTCAAAGGATGGGCCAATGATCCAGCTACTATATGTGCCCAGATGAAGACACAATGTACCACTGTGGCTGTATTCTTGATCAATAATTACTCAGGAATGGGTTTTCCTTCTATTCCTCATTATATTGAAATTTTCAGCGCCTCTAAAAGTCAGATAACACCCAAGTACCTAGTTATCCCATCGTTTCCTCTTTTCATAGACTCTGGGATGGCCTGTCATTCAATCACAACTTGATTATTTTAATTACTGCAACATTTTCTTCTTCAGCTCCATGAAAATATTAAGAATACCCCAAAAAGCCCTTAATGATTTTTACCATATGATATCATAAGAAAATGGCATATATTATAGAATCATGAACTATTTTTTAACAGCTGGAAGGAATCCTAGAAATCATCCAGTCCTCCTCACTGTACAGATGAATAAAATGAAGTCCAGGGAGAGATGAAATTACTTATCTAAACCCACAAATATTTCTAAATGCTATATGGTAAAGCTCAATTTTTGTGCTCTAAAACAAATGCTCAACTATTTGGGAATATCTCATTCTCCATACTATCTTTCTTGCTCATAAATGACAGAGGTAAAACTGTGGACTTCTCAGAATGAGAACAAACTTTAAGAATTTTGAGCTGCATGTCAGCTCTGGCAACTTGCTCCTCAGAGAGCAGGAGATAGGAAAACAGCCTTGTTGCTTCTAGTTTGGGTATCTTTCTTGAATGAGTACAGGGAGAAGTAAAAAGTAAAAACAATCCCCTCTACCTTATTATTTTTTGGGGGGCTAAGCAATGGGGTTAAGTGACTTGTCCAGGGTCACATAGGTAGTAAGTGTCTGAGGTCACATTTGAACTCAGGTCCTCCTAACTCCAGGGCTAGTGCTCTATCCACTGCACCACCTATCCCCTCTACCTTAGTTCAGGCCCTCATCACCTCTGGCCTGAATTTTTTCAAGTCTCTTAACTGGTCTCTCTGCTTCTAATATCTTCCTTTTCCAATACACAGATCTGATCATGTTACTTTCCTTCTCAAAATTTTATTGGTTCCTTATTTTCTCTAGGATCAAAACCATCAAACAAAATCATTAACCTCATATTTAAAGACTTCACAATTTGGCTCCCAACTACCTTTTTGGTATTATCATATGTTACCTCCTTACTTGTATTCCCCATTCTAACCAAACTGGCCAGTTAACTGGTTTCTATATGTAGTCTTCCATCTCCCACTTATCTCTACTCCAATTCCTTCTCCTAGAAATTCTGACTTCCTTATAAAGCTCAGCTCAGGTGCCACCTCCCATGTGAAGCCTTTCCAAATGTCCAGTTTTTAGCATACCCTCCCTGTTAGGTTTACTTTGTATTTATTTTACTCTAATTTTACTAAAATTTATTATCTATTTAATAGAACATACTCAGTAGAATGTAAGCTTCTGGAGGGCAGGGACTTTTAAATATTTATATATTTATAGTTTACATATTTTATACTTTTTGTCTTTACCTTGTCGAGTCAATATGCATTTAATATCAACTACGTACTCAGCATTGTGCTAAGTGCTATGCCTGGAACATAACAGACATTTAATACATTTTTGGGGCATTAAATTGAATTAGCCTACCTCAGAGGAACACTGACAGACTATGTTCATTCATAAAATACTTGCAACATGAACAATAATTTTAAAATACCTCCTGCCATCCTCTTGCTTAATGAAACCAGAAAGATTCAAAATAAGCTAAGAAGTTCACCTAGTTTTTCTTGAAGCCTTTCCTTTTAAATGGTAAAATATTCAGCACATTTTTATCTGGGCCGCAAATCCCACCCACTTCTTCCTTCCTCATCCTAACTCATCAGTGGCATTCTGCTGATTAAGAAACCAGATATTGCAGAGGGATTCTCAATAACTTTTGTAGTCAGAGCCTATTGGAAATAGGGTTCTCTTTTCGTTATTAGCTCAGCTCTATTTTTTTTTTTGAACTTACTGATATTAGGAAGCACCAACAAGGATACTCCGATACATCCCTTGAAGAAAAATCATAGTCCATTGGACTACTCCCCCTCATGCTACTGGATAAAATTTGCATACCTAAAAGGATAAATTAAATAAAAAATCTAGATTCCTGAAATTATTGATTCTTTCAGAATTTGAATTACTTCCAAATCATAGTCAATAAATAAGGAATTAAGTTGGTTTAATCTGTGATGAATTTGGCTAGCTATACATTTTCTCCTGTAACTCTACTGGTATTTTCAAAACTATAGGAAAATAACTTAGAATTAAAACCAGCAGCTTATTTTACAGCCCACTGTCAGAACAGTAAAATGTTTGGCCAGGGCAGTAAAATGATCTGGTGATTAAGTTTATTTTTATTTACTCTTCAAGACACAAAAGACATAAATCTATAAAAGAGGGCTAATAAGAACACCTACCTTGCAGGGCTGCTGTGAGAATCAAATAAGATAAAGTGCTATAAAATGTTAGCTATTAACATTTTTAATATGCTTACAAAACAGAATTAAGCTTCTGATCTGATACATCCATTTTCAATAGCTCAGGTTGTCTTCTTTCCCTGTCAAACAACACTATGGGTGTTCTGTTCCCAGGTAAAGGTGCAGAAATCCAAAGGCAAAGTGACTTGCTGAGGTCCAGGCAGAAGGCTGGTGAGCTGAACTTTCAAGCCCATCTAATGAATTTTTACACCTGGTTCTCTGAAAAACTAAAATAGACCATACATAATGGTGCTTATTCTACACCTGCTCAGGACAATCCATATGTACCAGGGGTCATAATAAAGTCCATTTAAATGATGATCTCATCATTTCCCAGGGATTTAATGACCACATTTATATTGATGATTCTCAAATCTACCTATGCTGCCCTAACCTCTCTGCTGACTTCCAGTCTCGAATCTCCAAATGCCTTTCAAACATCTTGAAATGACTGTCCATGAGGCATCTTAAACTCATTATCTTTCCCCCTAACCTCTCCCCGCCTTTAACTTTCTTTATTACTATCAGGGGTAACACTATCCTCCCAGTCCTACAGTATTGACTGATTGATTATCTCTGTGTGTATTATCTATATTCATATGTGTGTATGTATGAGTGTGTGTATATATATATATATATATGTATATAAAATCTGTATTGAGAATTATGCACATTTCGGGGGCCAATTTCCTACCTTGCTGACCAGCTCATCACAGAATCATGACATTTAAAAGACACAAGAGAGATTAGAGATCCATCTCTTCCAATCCCCTCATTTTACAGATCATAAACCTGAAACCCAAAGAGGTTAAAGGTTAAAGTTCTTGACAGAGGTAATAATCAAATGAATCTGTGATCTCATCACTTTTGAATAAGATGCTACTTTTTCCCTGGAAAGGACATTTAGAGGGTGCTGGCAGCATTTCTATTTCAGTTGATATAAATGACTGAGTCTGTCACCAAGTGACTAAGAATACTCAAATGAATCTGTGGTCTCATTGATTCTCGAGGTCCCTCCAATGATCCAAATCACAACCTGTCCAAATGTGCCTATCCTGTGTGACCCTTGTCTATGTCCTCCCATAGGCAAAGAGGGGACATAATGAATGGATAGAGCCCTGGATTTGGAATCAGGAAGCTATTTACTAGCTCTGTGATCTTATACAAATCACTTAACCTCCCAGGCTCAGTTTTCTCATCTGTAAAATTAGCACATCTTAGCTCTTATTGTTATCTTATGTTGTAAGGATAAAAAAGGATGAAGTGCTACATAAATGTTAGCTATTGCTATTGTTAATAATAATACATTTGTCCCAGGAAATCCATCCCAACCTGCTAATGGTTTTCCTTGCTCTCTCCCAACCCAAGGATAACAAAGGACTGCTCTGGCTGCTCACATATGAATCCTTCAGCCTTGCCATGTGACCAGCCCATCTTCTTTTCTTGCCACACAATTCCTCGAGGGCATTTCCTGTGCCTGTTCTTCCTCTTTGGTTGAACGTAGCAGTCTATTCCCACCTACTCTGTGCCCACTCTTTATGTGAGATTCATTTTAAAACCTCTGAAGCTTTTATACTGCCATATAGCAACACCTGTAGAATGTTGAGGTTTTTAAAATGGGCCTTTGCTTTTAGGGGGATGGCAGGGGAAGGGAACAAACATTTATTAAGTGCTCATGATGTACCAAACACTGTGCTATTAATATCTCATTTGATCCTCATAATAACCCTAGGAGGTAGGTGCTATTAACATCTCCACTTGTTGAGGAAACTGAAGCAAAGAGAGGTAAAATTACTTGCCTAAAGTGATACAGCTAGTAAGTATCCAAGGCCAAACCTGAATTCAGATCTTCCTGACTCCAGGCCCAGGGCTCTATCCACTATGCCTCCTAGCTGCTGCTAGGTTTAATGAAAAGCTTGGGGTTATTAAGGAAGGGAGTCTTGCAATTTCCCAAAGGCAATTACAACAACTCTCCCCCTCCTCCTTTTCAACTCTGGAGCCAATTCATCATCCATATGTACTGTCGGTTCCAGACATACATAGTGATGGCCAAGGTCCATTGGGTGTCCATCCAAATGCACGTTGTATTCTGGGCAATAGATATTCTTTATCCCTTTGATCTTTCTTTCCCATGTGGATAAGCAAGCCAAACTTTTTTGAGTGATGATAGATCTCTTCCAGGAGGCTCTTCATTGTTCCTGGGCTTGATGCAGTCAACACAATATCTTTTAAAATCAGGAACATCTGGAGGATCTCAGCATCCATAGGGAATCCCTCTTCAACTTGGACTCTGCACTGGAGCTTTCTAATCATGATGGTGAACACCTCTGCTTGGCACACATCTTCCTCACCAGATGTTATGATCAAAAGGTCATTGAAGAGGGTTATCTATTATGAAATCTTTCTAGATACTTATCTCTTAAGAATCAGATGGTGACAGAATGGGGTTATATATTGTTATAACATTCAAGAAATTTTGAATGCTTTTAACGCATCTATGAGAAATCCCTTGTTGAAAAAGCCTGTAAGACATCATATTGCTCTATCGAATCATATGCTTTTTAAGAATAATCAACAAACAATAAACACAATAAGATCTTATAGTCCTACATTATTCAGTCAATTGTGAAGTGGTCAAGATATGGTTCTTGGTGAAAAGTCTGCATACTCCTTATTAATACTCTCATCAAAGATGTCCTCAGTTTGTATATAGATAACTTTCATAAAGATTTTATAGGCATGGAGAACAGGCATATAGGCCAATAGTTAACAACGTTCTATTGGTTGTCTTTTTTAGCATCAACAAGGCCTGAGATTTTTTTCCACCCCTCTGTGATGTCTTTCCCTTCTTTAGAAAATTTACATATTGATCCACCTTCATAATTGTGTCACTTCCAGCATGATTCTCCTTTATACACATTTGGCCCACGTTAGCCTTCAAACAAGGTCAGTTAATAACCCTAACTTTTGGGCTGGCCATATGCACAGGCAGAATACATTAGAGCCTAGGTAATGTGAGTTGGCATATCAAAATCTGCCAATGACCTATTATGATAAGTGATTTAAGAATTCCTAAAACGATCACTGCTTTCAACTAAGAAACTAAAGGTAGTAGCTATCTTGGGGTGGGAGCAAAAGGATAAGGTATTAAGCCACTGTCATCCATTAATATCTTAACAGGAATCAGATGATCAAATCAGCCAATCACCTGGCAGGGCCCTGAGGGGTCGACAAAAGCTTTCATCAATTAACCAACACTTACTGAAGGCCTTCTCTGTGTGCAAAATTTTGTTTATGAGGTTTGGGGGAGAAGAAGATCTAGAGCAAGAGTTCTTAACCTCTTTTGTGTCATGAATCCCCTTTGGCAATCTGGTGAAACCAACAAACTGCTTTTTAAGAAAAATGTTTTAAAATATATAAATAAAATACATAGGATTACAAAGGAAAGGAATTCTATTGAACACAGTTATCAAAATATCTATTTAAAAAAAAAACAAGTTCATGGACCCCAAGTTAAGAATCTTTGGTCTATTGAAAGGGATTGGGTATTCAGGGTAGCAAGACAGGGAGGATGCCAAAAATGCAGTGGGTTGGGGGCCATGCAGAAACAGAGACTGAAGGGCAATAGAGACTGACTTCATAATTCTGCCAAGGATTGTATGGCTTTACTGTGTCCCCTTGCCTTGTCTAGATTCCCTGGGCAGGCTTCTTCTACTTTCCAACAGTTTTCCTTAATTTCTTTCAGTAGCCTAATAAAGCCTTCTTTATTTGTTTCTCTGCTCTGCTCTTAGCCCCAAATAATATGGCTGTTTGCCAGCTATGGCATGAAGAGCATTCCTCAAAATTCTCTGATGTTCTTTAAAATAATTCAATTGCTGGCTTCTTCCTCTATCATTTTATGAACAAATCATTTATTCACCATGAAGGCAACCATGCTTCTCTTCTTAGAAATTTAATTATTGCCTACACAGGCCACACTAAGAGTTTAAGAGGGTCTGACATTTTGTGAAGGCAAAAACCCAAGGAGCTGAAGAAGGTCACTTGGACTTCCTGTCTTTTTTTTTTTAATTTCTTCCTCTATAAGACTTGGATACCACTATAGCCCAGACAGAGGAAAGCTCTGGGTAGATTTGTTTCGTTCCTACTGATTTATCTCTTTAGGGGATCTTCAACCTGAATGGGACTTTAGAGATAATTTAGTCCAACCACTTCATCTTTTTCAAGATCATCCAGGTAGAAAGTAACAGATGTAAAATTAAAACCTAGATCTTCCAAATCCAGATCTCTTTCAATTGCATTACAAGCTCCCAAATGCTTTGTGGGCAAGGATCTTGTTGTACTCCCACCACCCACCCAGCACCTAGCACAGTGTTCTACACATAATCATAACTTAATGTCTATTGAACAGAATTAGGAGAAATAACTGAGGCCTATATACTTATTAGTCTCCTTTGTCTCTTTCAAAACTGATCAATTGCCTCCTTCTACATAAAGTCTTTTCTTATCTCCCACCCCCCCTACAAAATGTACTTTGTGTTTATTTTATGCATGTTTCCCTTAATAGAATGTAAGCCTCTGAGGACAGGAACCCACTTCACTTCTGTCCTCATATGAGCACCAAGAACAGTGCCAGAAACATAAAAAGAGTTTAATAAATAACTATTGATTAATTAATGACTTTGCTCTTCAGGTTATCACAGGATTAAGGAATGTATGTGTTCATCCTGTATTGTTAAAAAAAAATCCAGATGTTTGCAGATGCACCTACATATATGAGCATGCCTTGTTTAGTCGCCTTTGACTCTTCATGACCCCATTTTGGGGTTTATTTGGCAGAGATACTGGAGCGGTTTGCCATTTCCTTCTCTAGCTCATTTTTAGAGATGAGGGAAGGCAAGCAGGGTTAAGTGACTTGCTCAAGGTCATACAGCTGGTAAGTGTCTGAGATCAGATTTTTAATTTGCACACACAGAAGGCCTTAAGTAAAAATAGCATTCTATCCACTGCACCTGTCCATATATGTGTATAATGAACAATATAATCCTGAAGCAACTTCTAAACAATTTCCAATAAATAATAAAATCTATTTTTGACAAAATTATAAAAGGTCATTCATAGTAACAGTATCATAGATTTAGGGCTAGAAGGGAGATAATCTAATCCAACTCCCTTATTTTACAGAGGGAGATCTCAGGCTGAAAAACTCTGAATGACTTGCCCAAGGTCACACAGAGCAGAAACGGGATTTGAACCCAAGTCCTTTGCCTCCAAACCTAGTACATTTTCCATGATACCACTCTATTTCTCTACTCTTCTCTGTTTCTCCATTATCTGTTTAATCAGTTTCTCAAAGGCTACACTAGCTTGCAGGTTGATTCTGCAATCAGGAAGGACCCACCCAGGGTCCTCACAGAAACTACCTCCAGGGCCAATCCACTCTAGGCTGCATGGAATCCCGTCTCTACTTTACTGTAATCAATTAATAAACATTTACTAAGCACCTACTGGGTGCCAGGCACTGTGCTAAGTGCTGGGGATACAAAAAGAGGCAAAAGACAGTCCCTGCCCTCCAGAAGCTTATGATCTATCCTGAGGACTAGTAAGGACCTCCTCATTTGTTTATAGTCAGGAAAAGTCAAGCTCCAGGGCCCACACACTCCAAATGGAGGTGGAGCTTACCGAGAGGGCTGGAAAGGGAGGTGGCACGTTTACCTGACTTGGGGTTGCAAAGCACTGGGGGGCTGCCGCTGAGGGTCGGGCTGCTGCTGAAGTAACCGCTGCTGCCACAGCTGCTCATGCTGCTCCTTCTCACCGCAGACACTATCTTGATCTCCTTGCTTGGGCTCACTGGGAAAAACCAGAAAACAAGCAGCGCCACAGAGGGTCAGTTCCTCGGCACCCTGCGCGTGCTGCGCAGGAAAGCTGGGAGTCTACAGACATTTGCTTCCATTGTGCAGGCCCCAAGCTCTAGTAAGACTGAGCAGTGAGGCTCCCTACAAGATGAAAATAAGCTACAGACGCAGTAACAGTGTGGTGGCCACTGTGCTGGCTACGATGTTAATGAGCTAATAACGATAACGAATGCACAGCTGCAATGCCAAACTCACTGAATATTCAGTGATTAGCCACCCACTTCCATGGAGAAGGAGCTTGCGATGCAAAATATGGTAAAGCGTCTGAAATGAAATCTTTGATGACTTCACTAGTTTTCCATTCCTGTTTTTGATCTCCACCATGGAATGAGATTCTCAATCATGAGAAGACAATCAACTATTTGGAGCCACTTAGGAAATCAATTTCCCATTGCACTAAAATGAAGCCTATGTCAATTAAGAAGATAATATTTTATAATTGGATCAAAATGCAGTATTATGGAGGAAAATGAGTTGTGTGAACTTGTCATCATTGATCTGAGGGGGAGAGTAATTGACATTATGAACATCCATAATTATATAGCATTATAAAACTGCAGTATGGCCTAGTAGATAAATGGTTGGCTTATAGTTGGAAAGAACTGGGTTCAGGTCTATCTCCAATATATACTTTCCATACGACCATGGGCAAGCCACACTCAGTGCCCAGGAAAACTTTCTATGTCTGCACATTACAGTTGTATAGAAGTCTGTACATGCATCAGTGGAGGGAGATTTCACACTGGGAGCTCAATGAAATCACAGGATTGGACCAATAGATGAAAACAACAATGTCCTCAGGGACTCCATTGGTGGGGTAAGGATATTTGCTCATATGCTAAAAGGCCCCAGAGAGCTCTGTTGCTTTATAGAAAAATATCAGGATTTTCAGCCTACTCTCTTATATTCAGCTATCACACCTCATCATTGTCCTGGTACTTGGACAGAGTAGCTGCTCTTCTGGCCTTTAATTTGCTAGAGGTTAGAAACTAGATAGCCAAGCTTATTAGCCAAACTGTGTAAACTACAAGTAAATAGGACCTATGGGAGGTCTATGAGGCCCTCCCACAAGTAAAGTGCATGAGCTTTATGACATTTATGCTGGCTGCTGGGAGCTTTTTTACTTGCTTCTTAGTTCTTGACTGTCCCCTAGACAGGTGAGGTTGTTGGAGATCTGAGTGCCAGTAGCTGAGATGTTCTCAGATGTTTCTTTTTTCCAAAGCCAAATAAATGACATGACTCTTTGGAACCAAGTTACCTGACATAAAACTGGTGGGTTTTCGGTTGTCACTGTTCTGTTTCCTCAAGCAAAAGGGGCTATCGTGGGTTTCCTGGGAGGAGGGAGATCGTTCATTGAGCAGTTCCATTAGCCTTCTTCTCCGACGGAAATTCATTCTAAACTGGTAGAGAAGGTTGCTATCCACAAAGGCGTGCTTATTAGACACTGTGGAGGAGAAAAGGGAAATAGGTAAATAATGTAACGTGTTATAAGTCACTGATCTCACTCCACAGAGTCTGACACCTGATTAAAGTTTGCAGCAGAGTTGCAAAGGTCCTAGTTAAATTTGACAAACATTTACTAAGCACAAACTATGCGCAAAATAATACGCAGGATACCCTAGATACAAGGACAAAACAAAACAGTCCCTAATCTCAAGGAGCTTACGTTCCAGTAGAGAATGCAACACACACAGAAGTAAATATCACATAATAGTTGGTGGCAGAAGAGATCACTAACAGCAGAGCAATCAGGAGAGGCTTCACAACTGAGCTGAGCCTTGAAATAATGTAGGTATTCTAAGACATAGAGGCAAGGAGACAATGCTTTCCAATGACTGGGAGCGACTTGAACAAAGGTATGGAGATGGGGAAAGGAATACTGAATTCAGGGAATGGGTAGTCAGTCAGTTTGGGGAAAACCTAGCATAAGTGAAAGACAGTTAAATAAAATAAAGGGAGAAGAGTAGGCTAGAAAAGATTAGAGAGTGCTTGAATGTGATGAAATTACTATTATGCTGCAAGAAATCCAGAAATAAATGATTTCAGGAAGACATGGAAAGATTTATATGAACAAATGAAGAGAGAAATAAGCAGAACCAGTACAATACATATAATGATGTAACATCAATATTGTAAAAATACACAATTTGGAGGATTTTTATAAACTGAAGAAGAATGAAATGAGCACATCCAGGAGAACAACTTACGTAAATAACAAAAGCACTGTAAAAACAAATAACTTTGAAAGCTGTGAGAACTATGATCTGTACAATGACCATTCATGATTCCAGAGGACCAATGATGAAACATTCTATCCATGACAAAGAAGTGATGGATAATATGCCTCATTCTGCATTTAGGGTACAGAATGATACATACATACATACGCATGTATATACACACACACACACACACACACACACACACACATATATATAGAGAGAGAGAGAGAGAGAGAGAGAGAGAGAGAGAGAAGAGAGTTGAGCTAATGAGGGAATTTGTTTTGCTTGACTATGCATATTTATTACAATAAGTTGTTTTCCTTTTCTTTTTTTTTTAAATGGGGTGAGAATGGGAGGGAAAGAAAATAAGTTTCTGTCACTTTAAAAAATAGGTGAGGGGTACTACAGATTTCAGATGGGGTCCCAGTATTATTAGTTTTACTTAATAGTTTTACTTTGTTACAAGGGACCTTTCACAAAGCAGGAGTAATCTGTAAATGTAATCTATAAATGTAATCAATAAAAATCTTTTTTTAAAAAATGCTAGACAGAGGTGTTTGTATTTTATCCTAGAACTAATAGGGAATTGCTAAAAACAACTGATTTCAAAGACGGCATGAAGCTCTACTTTATTTTAACAATTCTTATTTCTTTGATTTTTTAAGGAATATTTTTCATGTATGGACAAAAGTCAATCAATTAACTGATCAACTTGATTGATCCACAGTTTGACCCTGACACCTTCTTATAGCTTTATCTTTCCCTGTTCTCTTGGAGGAAACATACCTGTGTTGGGCCAAAAGTGGATAACTGTTACTTGTTTTCCCAGAATGCATCCTACTCTTCCCCAGAGCACTTCCCACGCTTTCCCAAGCCAATGGCTTGCTTATGCTAACTCCTCTCTTGGTATTCACTTACTTCAGTATCCTCCCCACTCCGTCTTCTGCCTGTCTAATTCATACCCATTTTTCAAGGCCCAGCTAAAATACTACCTCTTCAATGAAGCTGAAATTTCAACTATGGATTTTCTCTCCCTCCTCTGATCAATGATAGCAATAATTCACAGTTATTTAGCATCTTAAAGTTCATACAGGACTTTCCTCACAACTCTATGAGACAGGTAATACAATTCATATCATCTTCATTGTACAGATGAGAGAGAGCAAGTGACTTACCCTGGGTCAACTCCCTAATAAATCTTGGCAGGGATTCAAACTCAGGTGTCTCCTGACCCTAAATCCCATGCTTTCACTCTATTCAGCTGCCTCTCACACTGTACTTCAATTAATATTCATTCATATTTTGCCTTATATAACAGAGAAACAGAGTATTTATCTACGTATGTACATTATAGTGATGTGCACCATTAAATAAACAATTAAAATTGCTTGGTTTACTATGTGCCGGGCACTGTATTAAGTGCTAGGAATACGAAGATGAGCCAGCAAGACAATCCCTGCCCTGAATTGGGGCATTACATCCTAATTGGGTAAGGCAACACATGAAGGGGAGCTGAAAAGTGGATGGGGAGAAGTGCCACGGGATGGTAGAAGGATGGGTGGGGAATGGTCTGGAAGCCTGGTTCCAAGCTCACCTAAAAAACTGGCATCATTACTTTAATATTTAACAAGTGAAAAGATATACCACAATAACCCATGAACTCAGGTGGCTCACATGGTCTCTTCTGGAATAGACTCACAGAAATCATTACCAATGGTACTTTCCTCTACCCTCTCTTACCCTGGCAATCAAATTTCAATTAATTAATTTAATATCAAGTATGAAGCTACCAAAATACAAAAGATCATCGAAATTACCTTCTCTTTTGCTCTTTCAATTATGCCACTTACACTAGGGATATTTCTAGCATGCCCCTTCATAAATTTATACTACAAAGGAACACTCACTGGTTAAAGGATGAGGAAAAGAAAAAGATTTGGAAATGAATGTGATATCACAGCAAAAAGAATCAACACAAATAGATTTTTAAAAAAGAATTAAAGGTATTCTTCAATTCCACCTGCTAGGTATATGTATCTTATCCTCCCTTAGCAGACTGTATAACTCCATAATGGCAGGGACTATGTGTCTTCTGTGTGAGTGAGTGAGTGAGTGAGAGTAAGTGAGAGTCAGTGAGTGAGTGTGTGTGTGTATATGTGTGTGTGTGTGTGTGTCTTGTAGTACCCAATAGTTATTGAGCACTTACATTTTATAAATACTGAAGGAATAAGTGCTTTTTTTTGTGAGAGCTTATGGAGGCAACAAAAAGGGCATTCCTGGGCAAAGCATTTCTGGGAGAAATCTGGGTCAAAATCCTTGCTTTAGAGCTCACTAGCTGGCTAACCCTAGGCAATTGTCACTTCTCTGTGTCTCAGTGTTCTGAGCTAAATAATGGGGATGACTTCTAACTTATAGGGCGGCTGTGAGGAAGGTGTTTGTAAACTGTAAAGTAATCTATCAATCAATAAACATTTATTAATCACCTACTATGTGCCAGGCACTGTGCCAAGCACTGAGTATACAAAAAGAGGCAAAAGACAGTTCATGCCCTCATGGAGCTTACAATCTAAAGGAGGATCCTACAATTTAATGAATGGCATCTAGCTAATAAATCTTGGCAGGGATTCAAACTCAGGTGTCTCTTGACCTTAATGGCAATCCAAATTACTGTTGAAACTACCGAATTTCAGAGTTGGAAGACACCTCAGGAGTCATTTAGCACAAACACTACCTGAAACAAAATAACCTACAAGTTGTCATCCACATTCTGCTGTGAGACCTGAAACCAGGGAAAGAACTCATTAATTCCCAAGATAGCTCTTTCTACTTTAGAATTGTCCTCATTTTTAGGAAGATTTTTGTCTGATATCAAGTTCAAATTTGCGTCTTTTGCCATTTCTCCCCATTATTTCTAGTTCTGTTTTCTCAGGCTAAGCACGACTTGTCTAAACCTTCCTTCAAATATTTGAAGATGGCTATAGTGTACCTATGGAACTTCTCTTCTCCAGGCTCAGCATTCCAGTTCCTTTCTACCGCTTCTCATATTCAAGAAATTGAAGCCCTTCACTGCCCTGCTTGTCCTCCTCTGGGTACTCTCGATCCCTTCTTTAAAATGTGGCAACCAGAACTGAATACAATGTTCTAGATGTCAGCCCAGGGCAAAGTACAGTGCGATGATCAGCTCCTTATTACTAGAGATGCTACTGGTGGTTGCTAGGTCATTAGACATCAAGCTTCTTGAATTAGGGGAAATATGTACTTTAAACAAAACCATGGCGGAATATTGGCAGTAAAATCTTTTTAAATGATATTTTAAAAAAGTATTGTACTAATGCTGCCTAATTAGACAAGGCTGGTTTTTGTAAAATCAGATCTTTTTAGATCAACTTTATTACAGATCTAACCATATTACACACAACTTATCGAAGTGACAAGAACAGGATTGCCTATTCTCCCTAGATGATTCTTACCTTGGATCAATGCTGGACAGCTTGTGTTGAGTTCTGCATTTAGCCTACAAAGATGTCTTTGTTTCGTGGCCACATCCACTCAGAAAAAGGCCAAGTCTTAGAAATTCTCAGCTGCAAACAAATTACTGCGGTTTACAAACTGTCAGGAAACTCTTCTTTGGGAGTAGGGTAAAAGTTAAAGTCACAACATTTGTGAAGGTGACTTCTAAAATCAGGTCAAGTTCTGCTTTTGATTTCTCACTTTATTTTTTCATTGATCTGGGACAGAGACTGTAAATGCTCTGCATAATCACTGGAGAGTTTCTCCTGTGAGTGGGCTTTTGGTAGTGACTTGTAGCTCATGGAAACGTTCCATTATATTAAACTAAATGCCTTCATTAAAAGTGAGGAATGCAAGAAAACAGTCTTTTTTTTTTCCTTGTGGACAAAAGTTCTCCAGCTTGCAGTTTCCTGATCCTTTCACAAGTTGATAGTTAAACACTCACTGGTTCTTGAGTCAAGGGAAATTGGTTCAAATCACCCCTCTACTGCTTATTATCTATGTGACCTGGAACAAGCGAGTTAATCTCTATGAGCCTCAGTTTCTTTACTTATGAAGTGAGTAGGTTGAACTAGATGCTCTCTAAGGTCCCTTCCAGCTCCAGACTTATGATCCTATAGGTCAGGAGTTCTTAACTTGCAGTGTATAGATAGATTTCAACATGTCCCTGAACTAGGATGGGGAAAAAAATAAAACACACACACAGACACAC